TTATGGAGAAGATGCCTTCAACAAAGTATGAGATTGAAAAGTTCACCGGAGTGAACGACTTCGGTTTGTGGCACTTGAAGATGAAAGCCCTATAGGTTCAACAGGGTTGTTTGGAAGCGTTGAAGGGAGAGGCATCTATGAACGATGTGTTAATGGCAAAAGAAAATACGAGCATGATTGAGAAAGCCCACAATGTAATATTGTTGAGTCTTGGTGATAAGGTTCTTCGACAGGTATCAAAGAAGACTACAACATCGGGAGTATGGGTGAAACTTGAAAGTTTGTACATAACCAAATCTCGGGTGAATCTACCTGAAGCAAGCTTCATATTCATTCAAGACGAGTGAAGACAAAGTGTTGGTTGAGCAGTTGGATATGTTCAACAAGCTAATTCTTGATCTTGAAAATATTAATGTGAAGATCGATGATGAAGATCAAGCACTATTGTTGTTGTGTGCTTTACCCAGAACACATGCTCACTTCAAAGAAACTCTCTTGTATGGAAGGGAGTCCCTGACCTTTGAAGAATTTTAATCAACCTTGTATTCTAAGGACTTGAACAGACGAAAGGAGCATAAACCTTCGACGGTGGGTGAAGGTTTGGCCGTTAAGGGAAAATTCTTGCGAAAGGATGGTAAGTTTGACAAGAAGAAAGGTAAAATTCAAAAAAAGTCTTATAGTGGCAAAACATCTGGTATTTGATGTTATCACTATAAGAAGGAGGGTCACACAAGAAAGGTGTTCCATGAACGCCTGAAAGATAATGGAGGTAATGCCAACAAAACCATTATTCAAGATGAGTTCTTGTGGTTTCAAGTGGCGACTCGAGAAAAGAGTGGATTATGGATTCAGGTTGCACTTGGCGAGAATTGTTCGAGGAGCTATGTGATCAAGATGATGGACCTGTGCTGCTGGGAAACAACAAATCTTGAAAAATTGTAGGTACTGGATCTGTGAGATTCAAGTTCCATGATGAGTCAATAAGGTTATTGACTGAAGTTAGGTATGTACTTGACTTGAAGATAAATTTGATTTCTCTTGGTGAATTCGACAGAAAGAGATACATTTTTCAAGGAGAGAAAAGTATCCTAAGAGTCATGAAGGGGTTAAAGGAAGTCTTAAGAGGCGTTAAGAAACAAGGATTGCATACCCTCGAGGCTGAGGTTGTAAGTGGTTCGACAAATGTTGCATCCGCGAAACTTGTGTCGAAGACAGAATTATGGCACATGAGATTGAGTCATGTCAGTGAAAGAGGCCTGGTCGAATTGGGGAAGTAGAACCTGCTAGGAGGTGACAAAGTCAAAAAGTTGGAGTTTTGTGAATCTTGTGTATTTGGTAAATCCTGTAGGGCGAAATTTAACAAAGGCAAGCAAAGAACACATGGATCCCTGGATTACATTCATGCTAATCTCCGGGGGTCTGCAAGGAATCTTTCACACTTAGGTGCAAGGTATTTTCTATCCATCGTTGATGACTATTCTAGAAAGCTATGGGTATTCATTCAGAAGACGAATGATGAAACTTTTGAGAATTTCAAAAGTTTGAAGATTCTGGTCGAAACTCAAACTGACAGAAAGGTTAAGAGGTTGAGAACCGACAATGACCTTGAATTCTGCAATGAAGCGTTCAACAATTACTGTGTTGAGTCTGGGATTGCAAGGCATAAGATTGTAGAAGGTACTCCTTAATAAAATGGCTTAGCTGAGTGATTCAATCGAATAATCCTTGAAAGGGTTAGATGCATGTTGGTTAGTGCTGGATTGAAGAAGGTGTTTTGGGCGGAAGTTGTTTCGACAATAGCTTACCTGATTATAGATGTTCCTCGACTTCCTTGGGAATGAAGACACCTGAAGAAGTTTGGTCGAGACATCCACCTAATCTTGACAGACTGAGAGTATTTGGCTGTATGGCCTATGCTCATATTAGGCAAGACAAGGTCGAACCTAGAGCTCTAAAATGCATGTTCATGGGATACCCTGAAGGAGTCAAAGCTTATGGGTTATGGTGCCTAGAGCCAGGTTACAGGAGGTGTGTCACCAGTCGAGATGTAGTTTTCAATGAAGTAGAAATGGTTTTCAAGAAAACTGATGATGCTGACAAAGAGCTGGAACAGGGAGAAATTCCTTTTGAGGTGGATCATGTTGATGTTGAATTGGGTACCCCAGATGAAGTCGAAGAAGACATAGAAGATGTTGTCGAAGATGAGGATACCGATAATGACTACCTGCTAGCAAGAGATAGGTCAAGGAGAGTCATCAAACCACCTCAGAGACTTGGGTATGCAGATCTTATAGCTCATGCCTTAATCTATGCAAGTGAGGTTCTAGACAAAGAACCTAGAGACTATAAGGAAGTTATGAGGAGTCGAAAGAAGACTCAATGGTTGAAGGCCATGGATGACGAGATGAAATCTCTTCATGATAACAATACCTGGGAACTGATCAAGAAACCTGTTGGAGCCAAGTTAGTTAGTTGTAAATGGATTTTCAAAGTTAAGGAATGAATCGAAGGAGTGGCGTCGAAAAGATACAAGGCAAGATTGGTTGTTAAGGGATTCACTCAAAAAGAAGGTGTCGACTTCAATGATGTATTCTCTACTATTGTGAAGCACATATCCATTCGAATGTTGCTTGCCACAGTGGCACGGTTCGACCTTGAACTAGAACAAATGGATGTGAAGACTACGTTCTTGTATGGTGACTTAGATTAAACAATCCTGATGAGGCAACCTGAAGGGTATGTCGAAAAAGGGAAGGAAGATTATGTGTGCAAGCTGAATAGATCCTTATATGGACTGAAACAATCTCATCGACAGTGGAATAGGAGATTTGACAAGTTCATGACACGCATAAGTTTCATCAGAAGTCAGTTCGACCACTATGTTCACTTTAGATTTCGACCGAGTAATTCATTTGTCATTTTGTTGCTCTATGTGGATGATATTCTAATAGCAAGCAACAATGTCGAACATGTAATGAGGGTGAAGGCTGAACTCAATAAGGAGTTCGACATGAAGGATCTGGGAGCTGCATCCAGGATTCTTTGGATTGACATCCAAAGAGATAGAAAACATTCAAAATTATGCTTATCTCAAGAGGCATACCTACGGAAGGTTCTCAAAAAGTTTGGTATGTCGAATTCAAAGTCTGTTATGACTCCGAGAAACCCTCAATTCAAGCTGAGTATAGATCAGTGTCCCAACACTACTGTTGAAAGAAATTATATGAATAGAATTCTATATGCTAATATAGTGGGTTCTTTGATGTATGCTATGGTCTATACTAGACCCGACATAACATATGCAGTAAGTCTTTTGTAAGCAGGTACATGATGAATCCTGGAAAGGCTCACTGACAAGCATTGAAGTGGACTATAAGGTACATAAATGGGTCTCTGAATAAAGTCCTAATTTATGGTGGAGCCTTGGGTGAAGATAGTAAAGCAACAATCGAAGTCTGTTCACATGTTGCTGATATGATCACCAAAACGTTGCCCAGTTGCAAGTTTTTCCAATATATGCAGTTGATAAAGCTGCATGAAGAAAGCTAGTTCCTTGATATTATAGAGTTAGATCCAAGGTGAATATTTATGAGAGTTGAATCGAACTCTAGTATGGCCGAAGGGTAGCTTCTGATTCGACATAAATTAAGCATGAGGTCGAAGTATGCTCATATGTTGTTGTCGGAGTAATGTGTGTTGTAGTCGAAGTATGTTCTAACATGCATTAGTCAATATTGCTAGGTTGTTAGCATATTGGATTGAGTCTTGTTTGTAAGCCTAAGTGTTTAAGTTAGCTTGTACCCTAAGTTAGCTTGTAATGGGTAATGGTTAAAAAGTCAATTAAGTTAGTGTGCTATTTTTCTTATAAATAGGATGCTAGTTTCTCAATCTTGGTATAAGAAAAGATAGGAAGATAAAATCCTAATTTCAAGAGAGAGAGTTTATTTTGTTATTCTTGTATATTTGTAATCTTGTTCTAAGAGTAAGAAAAAAATAGCAGTTTAATAATCAATCATTGTTGTTCCTTGTTGTTTTACCTTGTTATCTTTGTTAACCCTAACCCTTGTGTGTTTTTTGATCATAAAGAAACCATTTATATTTTGTTTCAAGACATCCAATTCATAACATAAATAATAGTTGGAATTCAAGCATGTTTTTACTTCATCATATGATAAAGTATTAAACTAGCTTTTCAACGCATGCGACTGCGTCCTGTTTTAAACTCGACAATAATGAAGAAAAATGAAAAGAATATGAAGATAAAGAAGAGGATAGGAAGGAAATTATTATTAGAGGATATATTCAAACTAAAAATTAGATTAAAATGTTTAATTATTTATTTCTTTAGGTAGCAACAGTTATTTCCTATGTTATCATTTTCTCTTTTTTTGACAAAATTATTATTATTATTATTATTATTATTATTATTATTATTATTATTATTATTATTATGAAATTTATATAAAATTTATATAATTATTATTATTATTATTATTATTATTATTATGAAATTTATATAAAATTTATATTATTATTATTATTACTATTATTATTATTATTATTATTATTATCACTTTAGTTATACATTTAATGAATTTATTATTAGGTCCAATGTTTTCCAACCCTATTTTGAATTGAATGTTTTCAAAACCTATTTTCAATCCAATGTTTTTCTTGAGAGATTAGAAAGACTGTACTATGAAAGAAATAAAATCCGAGACAGTTCAACTTAAACCATTAAATAGTAATTACAATTATCATTTTCACTTTTTTATCCATATTTTTTACTTATTCTTTCACAGCACTTCTGTTAATCTCACTAATGTTACACGTCTTACTCGATTCTCATTCTCCATGTTTATTATATATAGAAACATCTATCTAACGAAAAAAAGGGCAAAACAATAGGGATCAAGAGCAGAGGCACAGATCTAGCACTAGCACCTCCATTTCCGTTTCTCTCGCTCTGCTCCCTTTCTACATTTCTCTCTCCACAAATCATGGGATTCCCATCCAACGGTTCAGATGAAAAGTCCCTCAAGTTTCTAATATACGGTCGCACCGGCTGGATTGGAGGACTCTTGGGCAAGCTCTGCACTGCCCAAGGGATCCAATTCGAATACGGGTCGGGTCGACTTGAGAACCGATCCTCCTTGGAATCTGACATAGCGGAGGTTAAACCAACTCACGTGTTCAACGCTGCCGGTGTTACGGGTCGACCCAACGTTGACTGGTGCGAGACGCATAAAGTGGAAACTATCCGTGCTAACGTGGTGGGGACTCTTACTCTTGCTGATGTCTGCCGTGAACGGGGACTTGTTGTTATTAATTTCGCTACTGGGTGTATTTTCGAGTATGATTCCGGTCATACTCTTGGATCCGGTGTTGGATTCAAAGAAGAAGATACTCCTAATTTCATTGGTTCGTTTTACTCCAAGACTAAGGCTATGGTATGTTTACTGTTGCTACTGTTTTGTTTACTATTTGATTAGATGTTTTTGTTCATAATTCCTATTCTCGAGTGTTTAAATGTTTTTTTTGTTGTTGCGATTTTTGAATTGTTTGTTGAGATTGATATGTTCATCTGTCATTTTCATGTTTTGTTTGCTTACCTTAGATCTGTTTCATATAGTAATTAAAAGTTTTTGAGGCTCATTGAGATATTTCAGATTTCTGCATTCGGATTTGTTTGATGTATTAATATTGGTTTACGTAGCTTGATGTGCTAATTCGGAATTGTATTTCTGTCTGAATAAATATCCTTGGTTGGTCTTGGTTGTGTTGGATCAAGTAGAATCAAGATCAGATGTATGGTTTTAAATTATAGACCGCAACAGCAGTTGTCGCTGCAATATTGCTGATGTAGTTAGTCCTCTCTGCAACTAAATCAGACTGCAATTGTAGTGTGATTTAAAATCAAGAGCCTGACCGCATTAGGAATTGCACTAGACAATTTCATGATCAAAAAAATGTAATTTATATAAAATTAGCCTTTGTAGTTACGCTCAGAGAAATTATGTTTCCTCTTTTTAAATTAGACTTGAGATATGTATTTTACCATGTTTTCCCATTTTTTTGTTAAAACAGGTAGAGGATCTACTCAGGAACTATGATAATGTATGTACGTTGAGAGTCAGGATGCCTATTTCATCTGATCTATCCAACCCTCGCAATTTCATCACAAAGATATCTCGATATGAAAAGGTTGTCGATATTCCAAACTCAATGACTATATTGGACGAACTTCTTCCCATTTCCATAGAGATGGCAAAGAGAAATCTCACTGGAATCTGGAACTTCACAAATCCAGGAGTTGTTAGCCACAATGAAATCTTACAGATGTATAAAGACTATATTGATTCCGACTTCACATGGAAGAACTTCACTCTTGAGGAACAAGCCAAGGTGATAGTTGCTCCGAGAAGTAACAATGAGCTAGACGCAAGCAAATTGAAGAAGGAATTTCCAGAACTGCTGTCTATTAAGGATTCACTCATTAAGAATGTGTTCAAGCCAAATCAGAAGGTTAAAGCTTGAGGAGCAAGGTTCACAATTTTATCAAATATTATCATTGTTTTCAATTTCTTTATTTTTTTCAGTTTGTGTGGATCCTGCAAAGATGTTCTTAGTTCATATGATTCAATGTCTGTAATTTTTATTTATGTGTTGTATTTGTATTGACTCCATGAATAAATTAGTTCCAAGTTACTCATGAAGAATGGAATTTTTGTATGCTTTTGCTTCTATGACTTTGAGCCTCAAGTGAGATTATCATGACTGTTTTGAAAGTTTGTAAGACAGATTACAGTAAATTAAGCAAAAGCAAAGTAAATAGAGATTTTATATTTGTTTTTTTCACATTTAAACGTGATTCTTTGGAGACAAAGTAAAGGTGAAGAAAAATTATTCCTAGAGATTAATAGTATTTAATAATACTTAATTTAAAAGGTGTTAGTGCTGTTTCTTAAATAATCAAAACGAATAGTACAGCTGTTTTTTTGAATCAATAGTTAAATTATTCTTGATTTATAAAAAGTTATATCATATTCCTTTTAAAAGGCATGCTAAATAAAAATATTTAAAAATGACATCATGCATGACAGAAATATATTTCCCAAAGGAAAAAGATATTTCTTTTGGTATCAAAAGACATTTTTGAAAACTAGTTACTGTGATAATAGAAAATAAGTATATCAGGAAAAAAAAATTTATGATGTTTGCACACAAATCTTGTAAGTTACACTGGTCTCAAGCCTGAATTAAAGGATGTGTTTTGTTAGACTTTCGACAGTCAATGTAAGATTTTATCGAATATCTATGACATGAATTAATTACGAAATAATGTGAATGTTAAGTCGTTGCCTGAGGGTAATGCATTGTATGACTCGAGTACAATGTCAAAAGAGCAAGAGATGTTGCATCGCCACTACCACATCCTAATTTTTAAACCTAAGATTCCACCTCATTTACATCATTTTTGACATATCATGAATCATCTCATGTGTGTGTGTGTGTTTTATGCATTGCTAACCCATTGAGATTACAAGAGTATGCATTTTGGTTTACCTTGACTGCAAGTTAGGGTTTTGAAACCAAGAGCTCAAGAAGGTGGCCAATCAAAGACTTATATGATCCTCAACTCTCCAATATGATCAAGAGTCTCCTTACATCAATAATCAAGGACAAGATTCCATCAGTATCATTTCATCAAGCCCTAAGTCATCAGATATACCAAATTAGGGTTTTGACCTAATTCATTCCTGAGTTGACTTCTTAAGCAAAACATGATTCAACACTTCAAGACATGGTCCAAAGACCTCAAGGACATCATCTTAGTCCGTTCATGTGGTAGGATTGATTCAAGAAGCTTGATCCATTGATAATTGAAAGAAATCAAGTTCATTTGGAAAAATTCAATTGTTCATCAAAGTCAAGGTTTGACTTTTGAGATTTTTGGTCAAACATGGACTTCACAAGTCAAAGATCATGAAATATGATGGATGATTGCATTTGATCATGATTAATCAAGAAAATCAAGGAAAAGATCAAAGTTGGTGAAATTAGGGTTTATGCTTTTTTTTCTAAGTTACGTGATTTCATGAATAAATGCCCTATTTTCCAAGACCATAACTTCTTCCTCAAGCATCCAATGGAATTACATACTTCAGTTTGGTGAAATAATAGACTCTAAAGCATTTAACAACGGGAAGTTATGGTTGTTTAAAGTTGACGTTTTCCAAAATGTGAAATGTCCAATACTTAGAAAAATTTTCAAGTGTAAATCAACGAAAAGTTCAATTTTGGTAGTCATTTTTCTCCATGATCCGAATTGATTCTTTCCAAGTGAACAACATCAAAGTTGTAGTGTTTGATTTCTTCTTTCCAATGATACTATGAGCAAGAAAAGATCTTGCTTGAGCATGAAGTTATGAATTTGCCAAGTGACCATGGTAAGGCAGTTTTGACTTAGGCAGAATTATGCACCATGATTCTACACGAGTTCATGACATGTTTTACCCATTTTCCAAGCACTTTTCGAGAAAGTGGCCAACTAGAAACTTGTTAGACTCCATGAAATCTTTCCAAGAAGATCAAATTCTGCAGAATTGGATCTTGTTTCATCATGCAAAAATATCACCCAACACGCTGGCCAATTCTACTTTGGATAATGGACAAAAGGTCATTTTTTGATCCCAACCACTTTCCATGATTCAAGGAAAGATGATTTGAACCAGAAGCAAGTTGTACAAGCTAGAAAACTCAAGAAATGCTGAGAGAGAAAGTCAAATTGTAAAAGCAAAAGCCTACTTGTATTTGAAGTAACTTTATGAAAAGTTTCTTTAACCATTAGATCATGCTTCCAACTTTGTCCAAAGTCATTTCAACTTGATCAGATTACTCTCCATATAAATACCACACCATATTAGGTGCAACACAAATAACATTGAGCGATAAACCTCCCACAATCTTAGTAAGCACATTGAAACTTCAAGTTTTCTTCACTTTTGCACCAAAGTCACAAAACCTTCCAAAACTCTATACAGTCATAAAACACCTCAACCAACCATCCAAACACACCACAAATCATCTATACCAACTTTCCAAACTCACCACAACACCATAAAACTTCTCCATTAAAAAGTTAACTCTCACTTGGTCATTTTATTGACCAAGGAGCCAAAACTCCATAAGTTTCTGTTCTTGTCATTTCCAATCATCCTAACACTTCAAACACCATCTACCAACTTCATTGAAACTATCCAAACCATCACACATCATCTGTAACACCTCCATTAACATAATAAAATTTCACTTTTGACCATTTGCAAGAGGATTTGAGCTGAGAAATTGGAGGAGTTTTGAAGCAGGCTATCCATTCAAACACACTTTTGGGGACCTGGTGGAGCTAAAGAGATTGTTACCTTACTTCTGAAGCAACATTTGAAGAGACATTGAATCTACACCAATAGGTAAGATGACCACTTCTCAAACTCATAGTTAGAAACATCAATTTTGAATATTCAAGTTACCATATTATTTGCCATGATGTAGACATTAAAAACCCTATACTAATTGGTCCTAATCAATGATGTCCAACATTTCATACTGATTTATTTGTGTAGGTTCCATTTTGATGTTTGATTAATTGTTTAAATTAGAGTGAAAATGAATGTAATTGAATTATACCATTGGATTCCTTGTTTGATTATGAGCATGTTTGGTTTTTACACTTTTAAAATTCACTGAGAAATGAAGAAGTTAGGATTTTCTGAAATTCAAAAATGGTGGAAGGTCGTGGGAGGAAGAAGATGAACTGGGTGGCGCGTTTTTTCATTTTTAAATGCATGTTTTATATTTATTTTAATGGTTTTAACTTAATAAATGAATTGGCATTTGCCCCATTGGTAACACGCTGGTTTTGTGATTGTGTGAGCATAAGGTCTTGGTTTCGAATCTCCATCGCCCCAGACCTTTTGCTATTTTTATTTTTTTCATTTCCATATGAATGTTTCATATATTATGTTCCACACGCGCCTTGTAATTACCATGTAGCGCATGATCTAGTGGTCTTAGTTTTGAGTTGTAGGCTTCAGGACTTGGGTTCAAGACCCATTGGCAGCATCCCGTTCTTTTTATCACTTTTTCCTTCCTCTTTTTCTCTTTTAATTATTTTCTTTAATTAAATTTTAATCTTTCATTTAAATTTTAACTCCTCCCATTTTTATTTTTAATACATCAAAATATAAAAAAGAAACATTTTATTATTTTACTCCACCCTCTTTTTTACTTTTATTTTTAATTATACTTCATTTATTTAGCATATTTATTCAAGACCAAATTGCTTTTAAAAATCATATTTGTTTCCCCATTAAAAAAATGACCAAAACATTGTCTTTCATTCTTATTGTTAAATCCTGTGTTCACATGCTTTCTCTTTCACATTTTCATTACTTGTTAAAGTATTTTCAAGTCATTAAAAAAAAGTAGTCTTTGTTTTTGTTTAGGATTTTGGTTCTTGTTGATTCTTGATTGTCAATTCTTGTTCAAAGTTGATCATGATGACATGCTTATCCTTATGTGTACACGTTGTAATTTGTTGTATCATGTTTGTCTTAGATAGTTCATAAGTGGCCATGCTTTGATTTAGGCCATGATTTGGTGCTTAGATTGTTGAAGCATACCTTGTAAACTTGTGCCCATGTTTCTTTGTTCATATGAATGTTGAATACCATGATCAAATATGTTGTTTATAAATTTGTCCATGTTTGTTGATCTATGTTAGCCTTGTTTATACCATGTTTCTTATGCTCAATTCCATTGTTGAATGGTTGTGTATACTTTTTTTTATCATGTTTCCTAATTCCAAGGGAAGGTTTTGTTGTTGACATCATTATCATTTGCATATTCATGTTTACATTCTTGTACATATTTCTTCTTGTAATCCTTGAACTTGATATCCCTTAGAAAGTTTCTCTTATGATCATTTACAACTTAGACAACTTAAATTAGGGCTTTCCCTCTCTAAAATAAAAACCACTTTCATAAAAACCTTGACTTTAGGTCATTGACCTTTTTCAACTCTTTTCTTAACAAATGCTTCAAGACATATTAAGCATATTCAAACTCTTTCACAAAGACTGAAAGACACCAAATTCAATTCAAACCTTTTGCCACGTTGGCTTTTCAACTTTAAAACCCTTTTCAAAATAGATTAAACATTAGTCATCTCTAGTTGAGATATAAATCTCCTACCCCATAGCATTGTGAGAAAGATGATTAATTCTTTTCCAGTTGAGAGATATATGTGGCATACTTGTTGATTCTATATCCAAGTTGGAGCCCTTCTCTCAATGTGAAGCAAATATCCCTCTTTCACATGTTTGTGGTGGTTTAGATGAGTATTCTCCTTAAGATGATAACTTGTCTCTTCTTCCTTAAAATCCACCATAACACACCCGTTTACAATTTGAACCCCGAACTACAAGGTTTTGATCCTTTATTGGTACATAGGCACAAGACTTTGTGTCTTACCAAAC